AAAAAAAACTTTGAGATAACAGGAATACTCACAGAGCTCTGAGTATTAAGTTAAAAGTTCTCTTTTCTGTTGCTGTTGCTTAATAAAAATACGTTTTAAGATCATTTGAGGGGAGAACATTACAATTTTAAGCATATGGTCCATTTACCTTTTTAATGGGTAATTTTTAAAAGAAAATGTACAAAGTTGAGAGGACCGTGGCAACTAGTGGACCTCTGAGGGTAACGGCAGCCATGTCTAATCCTAGCCCGTCTGCAGTAGCCCTCTCTCTGCAAAGCCCTGTGTGACGGACTACTGGCTATGATGGCGATTTTTTGTTTTATTTAGCAAAATGTTCATTTGATTTGTGTTTATCTAAATGTGTTCATTATTATTCACTCGATAAATGAAAAAAAGTCAGAATTTATTATTATCTAGAAACTATTAATAACAAGAGGGGAAATGCAGCTCCAGATTAGCCGAGCATGTGGTGAAGTCACGAGTCATTACGCTTCTGTTCCAATTGACCCATATTTATGCTGCGTGCTCCCATTCTCACCAGTCCATACTTTCCTGTGTTCTTCTCATGAACATACTTGGCGAGGACACAAGTCTGTACTCGTGTTCTTCTGAACTGAGGCACGGTCAATGAGTTTAATCAATTGTGTTTAAGGTTGTACCTTATTTGGGTTCTTTCTCTCCACAACACCATCTCTGTCAGCATCCACGTCTAGTGAGAGCTCTGAAAGACAGAAATGTCTTGGTTTCCTTCAGTACTTTTGTATGGACTTACCATTTAACGCAAAGACTCAAACACAGTACAGTTATAGTTTTACCAGTCCCTCTTACAGCAATAATACTTAGACTGTAACCTAATGAAAAAAAAAATCTGTGATGACCTGTTGAAGTTTAGTTAACAAAGAAATTCATTGTACATTAAGAAATGTTGTTATGCAAAACAAAACTTACCAAGAGGTACCAGTTCAAGCTGTGCATCTCCCATAAAAGCTTTGTTCTTTCCATAGAACCAGATTGTCAGCTTAGAAAAAAGGAAAATGCTGATTATGCATGAAAAAGGGCTACCAGTTTAACATCAAATGTTACAATATCAGTTGAGAACGTTGCAGTTATATAAAGAATAATATCCATCTATAGCTGCAATGAGAGCGGGAGTTGATCTGTCTCATCAGTATAAAATATTTGCTCCTACAAAATTAAAGGCAATGATTCTGAATTAAACCAAAGCTATTCAACCCTGCTATAGAGCACAATGGGGTTAAAAATA